AGATAGATGGATACATAGATACAAATATAGATACATGAGAAGGGATTTAATAGGGGCACTGACTCACCCAATTATGGAGGCTGAGAGGTCCCACAATAGACCTTCTGCCAGCTCAGGAATCAGGAAAGCCAGCAGCATAGCTCAATCTAAGTTTGAAGGCCTGAGAACCAGGGGGCTGTTGGGGTAAGGATAACTCTTAGTCTGTGGCCAATGGCCTTAGAACCAGGGCCACTCGTGAAAGTACCAAAGTCTGAAGGCTGGAGAGCCTGAAGTTCTTATGTCCAAGAACAGGAGAAGAAAGTTGTCCCAGCTCCAAAAGAGACAGAATGGATTCTTTTTCCCTTTGCCTTTTTTTTTCTCTATCTGAACCCTTAACCCATTGCATGCTGACCACCTACATTGGGTGAAGGTGGATTTTCCTTACTCAGTTACTGATTCAAATGCCAACCTCTTCTGGAAACACCCTCACAGACATACCCAGAAATAATACTTTACCAGCCAGCTGGGCATCCCTTAATCCAGTTGACACCTAAAATTCACCATTACAGGGAGGGAATTCTTGACAGGGGCCATGGCTCCTACCCCTTCAGCTACATCTCCCTTGGCCCCTGTATTTCTTGACCCCCTACTTCTGTGAAACCTTTCCTGACAATGCTTCCTCTTGGTATAGAGACTGTCTACTTTCTGTTCCCTGTAGTGGGAATGCTGTTCCCTCCAGTCCCGAGCTGGTGAACTCATTCTCTGACATGCCTAACAAGTTCAAGTTCCCTCTTAACAGGGTCTCATAGCATGGTACTCCTCCGCTCCTTAATGAAAGCGCCTGCAGCTCACAGGATGACAGTCAGATCAGTATCTGCATCCCCTCCCCACTCCTCACTGGCAAACTCCATGATATTCCCAGGGCCTAGAACTGTGCTCAATAAATATCTAGTGAATGAATGAGTGATAGAATTTCTGTTTCAAATATGAAGCAACAAGAATGAGGAAGGTCACATCACTTACCTGATATTACATATCAAGTCCATGTGAAAGTCTGAACGTGAACCCAGAGTCTCTGATTCCAAAGCTTATATTCTCATGCTTTGTTACAGGGATAGGACCATGCATGTAGGAAGAGCCAGGGTCCAAGCTTGCACCTAAAGGGTAACCTGAACCGATTTCCTCATCTCAGCTGCCAGGGCAGCTGTCAGCCCAAGCCCGAGACACAGGGTTGGAGGAAGCATCCCTCCAGCAGAACTCTCCACATTACTGTGTAAAGGCTGGCTGGTGTCCACAATTTCTCTTCATCCAGAGACTACAGGAGAAAAGGGATGAGTCTCTTTCTTTCTACAACTTCTCTCACCTTCAATTTTCACCATCTAAAAAAAAAAAAAAAAAAAAAAAAAAAAATCTCAACCGTGTAGGAAACCATTAAAGGACTTCACTTGTTTCAAGGGATCAACAGCTCATGGAATGGCATGTCTTTGTTGGTGCAGAGTTGGCTCTGGTGGTCAGATTCCTATTAAAAGTAAATAGTTAAGCCATAGTCCTGAGGCAACTGAGGAAGTGATTAGTGTGCTGACACAGTGATCGATGATAAACATAATAGAGCTTGAAGGAAATTAATGATATTTTGAATCTTTAATAATGGTACATAACTATCTAAAAGCGATATCTCCATCACAATGTAATTCTTTTAAAAGCCAGGGGAGAGCTCTGATGACAGGTGAGTAAAAACTTTGTATATGGAGAAGATTAGAGGGAAACACGGTAAATGGGAAGAATTAAATTTGTCAGAGTGGCAGGACTGTGGGTGAGTCTTTTAATTTCCTTTAATATTATCAGGATGGGCTTACGTGCAATGGATTCTTTTAAAAATGGAAAACCGAGTGGAAAGCTCTCCTCTTCAAAATACGTGTACGATTTCTGGCGAGAATATAAGGAATGAGTTAATACATGCCCTTTACCCTGCTTCCAGCAACCCAAACACTCTCTGTTTCATCCTGCAAATGAAAGCTACATGCAGGCCCATTGTCTGTGAGTTCTTGTCCATTAAGACTTTGGGAAAATGCACATTTGCCCCAAGAGAAAAGGTCAGAAGCCTGGCAAAGGAATGCCTTCAGGGACAATGGGTCATTGTGACACCCAGGGCCTTGATTAATCACCTACATCTTTGGTGAAAAGACTCTAAGTGGCATTTCAAGAGACACCCCGAGTTAGAGGCTGCAATGGGAAGAGGAAGGGAGGAGCACTCAGGGCGAATCTGGGCATCCCTCCTATATAACGGGATCCGTGGTCTGGAATGCCACCCTGACCAGACAGCAATCTTAAATTAACTGCCCATCTTCTCACATCTTGGTTTGTTTCACTGCTAATCAGATGGAAATCTTATTTGGGGTCATAAATAATAGTCCTATGAAAACATATATGGCAGTTAGGGACATTATAAACAATCACTGATTTGCATAGCAAAACCTGTTCCCAACAGCCACACACTGAATCCGTGGTCTCTGAAAGTGGCCCACAGCATCTGTGAAAGCTCATAGGGTTGACAATTCCAGAATCACGTCTAAGGACCTTCCCTGCACTAAGTTTGCAAATCAGTCACAGCATTGCTTTATGCTGGTGCCGTTATCTGAGTAAGCTAATAATGCCTTGCATACATTTAGTTTCTTTCCACTAAGGAGCTGAGAGCGGTCCTCACGATAACAAACTTGGCAGTAAAATAGCCTACTAGACTTCACATTCCTGCGTTCCTGACAAGAGTGAGCCATTTCTTCAATTCACACAACCTCTTCGGAATCCTTCTGAAAAATGACCAGGTTTTATCTACAATGTCAAACCAGCAAGAAGGTAGAAGACAGCCCATGCTCAAGCTGCCTGATTGATGCGCTGAACGTTGTTTGGCCTGACCTGTTAATTCCTTCAAACACTGTCATGAATGCCACCCTCTGCAACGAGACAGACTGTCATTCTTCCCACAAACACATTTGCTTCCTGAGCAACGATTTTTGGTTTCAAGAACTGTTGACAGCGGTTGTTTGGCAGAGACAGAGGTGGGAGCAGTTCTGGAAAAGCAGAACTGAAAGAATCATCAGTCTGAGGAGGGTCTCTCACCTGACAGCCCTTTCCAAGATCAGCGGGCTGTTTTCTGTGATCAAAAAGGGAGTTCTGGGGACAGGTGGGACCAGCTGTGATGAGTTCTGTTGAGAGGGAAGAAAGCATATCTTAATCAGAGACTAGAGCCTAAGGACAAAAAATAGAGGGACTGGAGGTTAGCTGAAAAGAGAAAGGAGGGCAGAAGCTTGCGAAAGATACCAGAGAAGTGTTGTGGCCTCCTCGGGCTTGGTCGCTGCACCCTGCTGCAGGGACCCAGGCAGAACCACGGCACCCTGACATCTGCCCAGAGCCGCAGCTTCTCTCCCTTCCCCCTTACCTCCCCCAGCTCCCATCCATGCAGCCTTTGTCCAGGAACATCGCGGGGCGGGACCGCGTTCCATTTCCGGTTTGGGTACCAGATACCTGTGTGATCTCAGCATGCTGGGTATTGGGATCTCCACTGAACAATTACTGTACTGGGCCAAGTGACCGCTCCATCTCTGTCCAGCAGGCCTGCTCTATGACAAGGCATGATTTGCTTTCCGGTGCCACCAGCTCAACAGCCCCTGTTCTGAGTGTCAGGGAAGTCTCCAAGATGGGTGTCCTGGTGTCCTGGTGATTTGCTGTTTTCTAAAGCACACAGACTGCTTCCATCCATTGCTTCAGCCGGTGGATCCTTCTCTGCAGACTCTGCTGACTAATACAAAGGAAATACGGAGCAGCACCAAGGAAACAAGACAAGTTATTCTCAAAGGGCTGAGAATCTGGTTGAAGAGGTCAGACAGATTCACAGACAGGCAACAAAAGCCGATAAGAGGGCCAGGCACACGGGCTCCCGCTGGTAATCCCAGCACTTTGGGAGGCCGAGGTGGGTGGATCATTTGAGGTCAGGAGTTCAAGACCAGCCTCGCCAAAACAGTGAAACTCCGTCTCCACTAAAAATACAAACATTAGTGGGCGGTAGTGGTACTCACCTGTAGTCCCAGTTACTCAGGAGACTGAGGCAGGAGAATCGCTTGAGTCTGTGAGCCAAGATCACACCACTGCACTCCGGCCTGTGCAACAGAGTGAGACCCTGTTTCAATAAATAAATAAATAGTTGATAAGAGAACAAAATAAAAGATAACGCAGTGTAGTAGTAATGAGCCTTGGGTTCTTTTCTTCCCTACTGTATTTTTTTATTCTTACAGATCTAGGGGGTAGGAATGTAGTTCTGTTACATGTCTGTATCGCACAGGGGTGACGTCTAGGCTTTTAATATGCACATTGCCTAAATAATTAACACTGGACCCAAGAGATAATTTTTCAGCCCTTACTGACTTCCCACCCTCCCCACCTTCTGGAGTCTCCACAGATTCCCCGGCATGTCCATATGGACCCACTGTGCAGCTCCTACTTCTAAGCGAGAACGTGCAATATTTGACTTTCCCTGTCTGAGTTATTTCACTTAGGAAAATGGTCTCCACTTCTAACCATGTTGCTGCAAAACACACGATTCCATTCTCTTTATGGCTGAATATACCCCACATATTCTTTTTCTTTTTTCTTTTTTTGAGATGGAGCCTCAGTCTGTCACCCAGGCTGGAATGCAGTGGTGCAATCTCAGCTCACCGCAACCTCTGTCCACCTCTGGGTTCATGCGATTCTTTTGCTTAAGCCTCCCAAGTAGCTGAGACTACAGGCGTGTACCACCATGTCCGGCTAATTTTCTTTGTATTTTTTGACAGGGTTTCACCATGTTGGCAAGGCTGATCTCAAACTCCTCACCTCAGGTGATCCACCCACCTCGGCCTCCCAAAGTCCTGGGATTGCAAGTGTGAGCCACTGGGTCCGACCCCACATATTCTTTATCCACTCCTCCACTGATGACACTTGGGTTGATTTCCTGACTTTCCTACTGTGAACAGTGTCAGAATAAACATAAAAATATGGAATGCTTCATGAACGTGTACGTTCTCCTGCGCAGGGGCCATGCTCAGCTTCTCTGTGTTGTTCCAATCTTAGTGTATGTGCTGCTCAAGCATATGCCAGGACCCCTGGGTTCTATGGGAGCTAACTCCTTTTGCCTCTTAGGCCTCAATCTTCTTGCCTACTAAGTGGGGTGTCAGACTACATGATCTCCAAGATCCCTTTATGGAATACATAATAATTAACTTCAGGAGGTGGATGAAAAGTGTGTGTAGAAGTGGTTGGACCACTCTGTGTGACAGAGGCTAGGCTCTGCAGTGTGGGTCATAGTCGGAAATGTTCATAGGACAGGGTCAGGGAGGCCACTAGAGGCCATTGCCAGCACAGAACATGGAAATCTCAAATGCCCAAGGTCACCAGGAACAGAACGTGTCTACCAGAGGGCCCAGAGAGTGGAGAGAGAGTACCAGGCTGGAGGCACCCACGCCCTCCCAAGGAGGACGCTAATGTTTCTACTTTGTCCCACTGACACTGGGGAGCCTGGAAGGATTCCGAGTATGGCATGCAGGATGAAAGTGGCATTGCCATGGAGGTCTGACTATTCCTAATTAGAATGGTCTCCCCCTGGCTGTCACTTGGGGGCTCCTGGTGCCATTGCAGCATCTCTAGGGATTTCCCCATAATGGAAGGAACTAAACAGGTAAAGAAAATTGAGGAAAAAGGTGGGACCCTCAAGAAATCTGAACCTACTGGATTTTTCTACCAGGGGGGACTTCTATCTTAACTTGCCGTCTTCAGCAGCATAGAGGTTTTGAGCTGTTCTTGATGCCTAGGAGTGTCGTAACAGACTGGGGCACCCGGAAAATCAACTCAGCTTCCTTGAGAAACCTCTACAGAAAAATCAGACAACACTCACACCCAAAACAACTATCACAAACCAGAACACCTTCCTTTTTGTCCACAGGGACAAGAAAGAGGGGATTTTCTTGTAGTCAGACCCTTGATTAACCGACTGCCTAAATTGAAGTCATTCTCAGAAATAAAGGTGCAAACTAAATTGCAAAGGGGAGGCAAGTCTTTAACCCCAAGCATTGTTTTGGGAAAGACGGATCTCTTTGCCTAACTGGTGGGTAATAAACATTTCTTCCACAGCTGACGTTTATACCCTTCACCATTAAGACAAGAAGACTCTCAAACACAGCATGTTCTCATTCATAGGCGGGTGTTGAACAATGAGAACACATGGACACAGGGAGGGGAGCATCACACACTGGGGTCTGTCGGGGGGAAACAGGGGAGGGACAGCGGGGGTTGGGGAACTGGGGAGAGACGGCATGGGGAGAAAGGCCAGATATAGGTGAAGGGGAGGAAGGCAGCAAATCTCACAGCAATGTGTGTACCTATGCAACAATCTTGTATGTTCTTCACATGTGCCCCCAAACCTAAAATGCAATAAAAAAATAAAAAATAAAAGTAAAAAAAAAGACAAGACAAGAAGACTCTGACAAAGAAAGCAATCTCCATGTTACCAGAAGGGCTGGATAATGTTATATGGACTTCTTTGGAATTACTAACCTTCCATGGAAAAAGAATGGCATCTTCTAAAAATTCAATATTATTCTAAGTCTAGGACACGCTTCTTTCAAGCAGACTGGCTAAGATGATTTAGGACGTTTGAAACGCAAACATTAGCTCAAGAGATACAAAATAACTTAGGCTTATCCTTTCAATTTTTCTGACAAGGGAAGTTAAGGTGAAATGCCTAATTAATTCTCACAAGAAAGCAGGAATGCAAGGGGAGAATTCCATGAAACAGGCCTTTGATCATTGCAGCCCAGGACAGATGAGCCTTCCCTCTGCGCTGACCTGTGCTGTTTCCCACGCTGAGCAGTGGCAGCCTCTGCTTACTCATCAGAAGCTGCCTGGCTTTCCAAGCTTACTCCAGAAACTTCTAGAGATTTGAGAAAATGCAACCACCTCTGCTGACAAACTAGCCCCTGGGACCCCCTGGGTCTCCGGCATTTCTGGCCCAGGTCACCACAGGCCAGGCCTTAGGACTAGGATGCAATGAGATCAGCAGGCAGATTCAGCAGCAGAGCGTTTGGGCACCTGCCTCACGCTGAGCCACGAGCTCCACAGAGCTGAGCCTTGTCCTCTTGTTGTCACTTCTAGTCCCTAACAGGGGCTCAGCAGACATTGTTTGAATGAGTCACCAGAAGAAAGACTGAATGCATGATTAGAGTTGGAAGTGAGAGAGAGGGAGGGGGAATCATGGTTACGTAAGGGTGATTTAGAAGTGCCTGCCTTCAAGGAGCTTATAATCTGGTGGTAAGAATAACAAACAATTATAATATAAGGTAGTACAATAAATTAACCGCCTAAAATATAGGAACAATGATAGGGATGATCTCATTACCCTTTAGCTCATACATTGCTTTGTTCTAAATCTTCGGACATTTGAGCCAAGTCTTGCACTGTGGAGAGGAATTTTCACAAGCTGGCATGTGCTGCCTCCCTTCAGCCCTAGCCAGTGGCAGACATCATTAATTGATTTCTCCATGATAACTGATCACTGCAAGTCATGGAAGGAGATACTAGTCTGAAAAGTGCTGTTCAATGTCTGACGCAAAGCTGGTGACTAATTCTTTTTATTTTTCCTCTTCTTCCTTTCCCAGAAAACCAAATAAGGGTCCCAACGACATTTGGCCATAGATGTTCCCACTGCTAGGATTGTTGTCAATATTACACATTTAGTGGATGAAAACCCAGTTCTAAATCGCATCACTAATTGATCATAGCTCACTTTCCAACTAAGCTTTACAATTCTTCTCAACACAGGGCCCTGAACCTACATCCTCAGGCCTATGAGGTACAAATGTATTATTTATCATCCCACACCGTTCTAGATTATGAGCAGCCATTCTAGGACTCGGGGTTCAGAATAAGAGGGACTCCAGAGGAATGCACAGTCACTGGTAACTCAGGGGCTTCGATGCAGTCCCACGTATAGGGTGTCCCCCTCCTTGGGGTTTGGCCATCGCTATGTCTGCCCAAACCCAAAGCCATCTTCCTCCATCCCTCCTGCAGGTGCTGCTACTGTTAACTGCTCAAGGTATTCTAATAGGCACTTAAACCATACCTGTGATTAGGAGTTCTTTGCAATTTGCTATTCAGTTCCTAAACAGCAGGGAGATATCAAATGGTCTCTAACATGATTTGACTACCACGGAATTCTTTTCTCCCCTTCTGATTCCCCACTATAATCTTGTACACTGAACCAACAGCAATCTTTCGAAGTTTATAACTTTCTTAACTTTAAAGTTTTCTTGACGCCTAAGCAACAGGAAGTTTTCAAGATGGAAATCCTAAATAAGTATACCATGCACAGCACATATAACACACATCCAAGACTTCAAAACCATTTGTACTAAGCTAGATAGTAGCTGTTAGAGTCTACCCTTGTACGATGTCCTATTATAAATAAGGAAACTCGGGGAGTGGGGCTTGTTCATTCCTATTGGGTTTTATTTTTTTCCTCCTTGGTACATTCGACATGAGACCAACTGAAAATACCCCAGGGGCATTCCTGTGCATTCCTGCAACTGTTCTCAAAAAAAAAAAAAATATATATATATATATATATATATATATATATATATATACACTTCACCCTGTTATTTTATGTGGCTTATCATCCAAAATGCTTCCAAAAGAGTTTCAACCCTTAAAAATGTGTAAGTACTTCTCATTAGGACCCTGCTGCTTGACAGAATCTTAACCTCCTTCTGACACTTTGCTTCCATGAGTAAAAATGTGATAACAACACTTACAACAAAAACACCACCACAACAACAATAACCGTAATGGCAAACACCGGGTGATCTGTACTTTCTGTGGGCCAGGTATAAAGCTGTGTGCTTCATCTGCATTTTTTTTTCTTTTTTTGAGACAGAGTTTTGCTCTGTTGCCCAGGCTGGAAGGCAGTGGTGCAATCTCTGCTCCCTGCAACCTCTACCTCCCAAGTTCAAGCAATTCTTGTGCCTCAGCCTCCCTAATAGCTTACACGTTCCACCAAGCCTGGCTGATTTTTGTATATTAGTAGAGATGAAATTTCACCAGGTTGACCAGGCTAGTCCCAAAACCCTGGCCTCAAGTGATCCACATACCTCGGCCTCCCAAACTGCTGGGATTACAGGCAAGGAGTTCCATCAGGCCTGGTTAATTTTTGCATATTAGCAGGAACAAGATATCACCATGTTGACCAGGTTGGTCTCAAAACCCTGGCCTCAAGTGATCCACCCGCTTCGGCTTCCCAAAGTGCTAGGATTACAGGTGTGAGTTACCATGCCCAGCAATTCTGTCAATGAATCTTTATCACAGAGTCCCATTTTAAAGACTTGCAAACTGAGGCTGGGAGAGGTTTCGACAACTGGCCTAAAAATAATGACTAGTAACACATGGATCCAGGACTTGACTGTAACCAAAGCCAGTATTTTTCTTCTTCTCTTTAAATTGTCTCCCTTTCCTGTTTTTCTATAACCCAGATAAAACATTCCTCAATTGATTGATCCTAGGTAATTATATACACATATGTTTCACTTCTCCAGTGTTTTAACATCTAAGATGGTCTACAAATTACTTTATTTCATGCAATGGGAAATGGCAATTTTTTCATTTGGCAGCCTGTAAACTCAGTCAGACAGAATCAAATCACTTCCCTGAGGCTCACCACAGGAAGGTAGCCTCATTACCTGAAAAAGAGAACAAAAAAGAAAAAGGAAAAAAAAAAAGGCTCCCTTCTTCATGAGCCTTCCACAAATGCCTTCTGCATCTTTATTGCTCTTTCATTACTTGGCTCTTCTTAGGACTTTTCCCCCAGATGTTCTTAATTTGGGGCTTATTTTCCATTGCATGTGGGCCCTTCAGTACCGTAAATATTTGACTTCAGTATTTTCCATAGCTTGAAGAACTTTACAGTGGTCACTCAGACACGGTTACAGGATGTTCTCTGATCCTTTCAGGCTGCTCTGTAAATTAGAAACTCGGTAGTTGATATCTTGTGGGCTCCACACACCATTTTTTTTTTTCTCAGACTTTGATGTCTAAAAGTGCCTTG